ATATATATATATATATATATATATATATATATATATATATATATATATATATATATATATATATATATATATATATATATATATATATATATATGGACCTCGTCTGTGGGGTTGCCATGGAGACATCTGTGTGTAACTAACCCTAGCCCTACAGCAAAAAGGTCCATAAGGTTTGCTATATATATTTAAAAAACTGTGTGTGTGTTGTAGGTCCTGTGATTGGGGAGTTTGTGAGCCAGTTGATGCCTCTGCTTCACAGCTGCCTCCAACCAGACAGAGACACAGAGATGAGGATGAGCATATTCACAATGCTTGCTAAGTTGCTTCTGGATGCAACCAACACACTGGATTCCCAGGGGTGAGAGGGACATGTACACTGTATACACACACACACGCACACGCACACGCACACACACACACACACACACAAAATAATGCATTTCCATGAGGTCATTATAACCCCATCAGATTCAGGTAGGGTCATGTGGAAGGGGTATACTCCAGGTGTGATACAGTTTATCATGTTTTAGAAATCACCACAAGCAATGCCAATTTGAATTAAAATGGTCTCTATAGGAGTATCAGTTACACAAACTCAAATTAGTTCATCACTTCCCAGCATGCCTGAAGAAGGCAACAGGCATAGGGTGTCTGAATCCCTCCTCGGTGATTTAGTAACGCCTTTGAATGGTTATTGACCGATGAATGAGGAAGGATAGCAGGGATCTCTGACACCCACAGAGGAGCTCCCGTTTGTGGGTTCCTCCCCTCTGCGGCCCCCCTAACCCTCCAGGGTCTCCTCCGAGCCCTCAGTTGTGCAGCCTTCAGCCTGGGCTCAGAGCTCTAATTTGAGGGAATGCGTTAAGTCTGAGGCCCTCTCCAGGTCGCAGCGATCACAGCAGCTGCTTCTGTCGATCAGACAGATGGACCTCGTCTGTGGGGTTGCCATGGAGATATCTGTGTGTAACTAACCCTAGCCCTACAGCAAAAAGGTCCATAAGGTTTGCTATGTGTGTCCATTGGTTAATATGAGGGATGGACTGGTAATCTTTGTGCATTAAGATGTTGACAGTGCCTTTGGAATGAGACTGGCAGCAGTGTAAAGACTACAAGAAAAAAATAATATCCTATATCGGTACAAAATGTTGCATAAACAGCAAGAAGTGTTCTCAGGCCAGAACATTCTGCCTCCTTTGCCAAAAACATGGTAACTGGAACTTCGCTTTCAGCTTTCATCAGATTATTTTATCCATAAATGTGCAGATTAGACAAAAGAAGTCTCTGTCTCATCCCCACTCCCAGCGCGGCCACCTGTGCTGCTAAATGTTTCTCTCATTTTTCAGATATATCTCAGGTAATCATAGGACCATCAGGAGACATAAATCATGTTACAGCCTCCAAAGGTTTCAAACAAATGCTTAACTTACAGTATCTGAGGCTGTGCGGTCTGCCATAATATTGCCATTCATACACATCTTATCCCTCCAATAAGGATTTATGGCCTGATCTTTGCTCAGCAGATTGTAGCCCACACACACACACACACACGCTATTTGTCATCAAGAGGACAATGATAGTCATAGAGAAAACCCTTTTTCTTTGTTCTGCAACCAAAATGGTATAATGACAGCTGGGCTATAGAACAAGCAGAAAGGGAAAGTAAGTTTGTGTACATGTAAGGGCATTTCATCCACACACACACACACACACACACACACACACACACACACACACACACACACACACACACACACACATAATGTCTTTGTTTCATGTGGATTTGAGTGTTGTTATTAAAAAGCTGGATGTGAAATTTAAGTAGAAGGTGATGTGTGAGAAATGAAAGTTCATCCTTTACCCTGGATGTGGCAAGCCCAAATTATGTGCCACTTACAAGGGAGATATAAGTGTGTGCTTTCATGCATGTGTGAACTGCAAAAGGCATCTGTCTTTAGTCTTAATTTCAGCTTTCAAGACATAAAACAAGAAAAATGCTATTGGGGTGGGATCTTCCTCTTTTTCCAAATGTGGTTTCCCCCGTGTCAGGTATTTTCCAGACTACATATTTTCTATAAGACCTGTCAGTAACATGAAACAAGGCAAAATGAAGCAGATCCAATTATATTTCAGCAAATACATGAGACCCAATTCTTAATATGTATAATAATATTTATCAAACACAAACTTAAATCATTGTTTGAATCAGTTATTTGGAATGATAGGTTCATAAAAGAATTTTGCTGAAATCTGATAGTGGATATTATTGAATTACTGCCCAGTAACACTTGATGACAAACTCAATTGCTTTTCTACTGTGTTGTGTTGTGAGAGAGTGCTCCAATGTGTAGAGACCCATGGGATGTACAGAAAAAATTTCTGGCTCTGTGTGTTTGTGTGTGTGCGCAGACATACAAGTTAAAGTCCAACTCTTTCCTTTGGACATCATACCCATCCAACATGTCTTTCCATCCTGTCAAGATGAATTAGAGACTGAGATCTGGCAGCAGCTTAGTCCCGGCTGTATGAGTGACACAAAGTCTCCCCCTACTGGCGCTGAAACATTACAGCACACTTTGTCAAATGTCATGACAAGTTTATTGTGAGACCAGCTGAACAGCCAGAGGCTAGAGGCAGCTTCTGGAGCTGGTGGAGTTGGTCTCGGAGCGAAAGGCTAGTGCAGACTCTGGTAGTGTGTATGAGAGGATGTCAGAGGGCCTAAGCCAGCGTGGAAAAGAGAGGGAGAGGGGGAAAGGAGGACAACCCAGATGTTGTACTCCTCGCCTCCTGCTTCTTCTCCACTACCTTCCCACCCCTTCTGCCTAAGAACAAGTGTGGGGAAATTATTGCATTATAGCTATTGTGTTGCAGTTGCATTCCCAACACTCATCATCATTCACTTGTCCTCAAAATGGGCGCTATTGCTTGTCCTCTTATACGACGCAATAGAAATCTCTGCTCCTGTCCTGTAATTAATATTTTTACTCTCTGCCTCTTTTCAGGCATTTCCGTGAGGAGTCCGAGAATTTCCTGTGTGACGTCCTGCTTCCTAACCTGGTGTGGCACGCAGGCCGTACACCTGCTGCCGTCCGCACCTCAGCCCTCAGCTGTCTGCTGGCCCTGCTGCACGGAGGGGCTGTCACGCCTGCACAGGTACACGTATACATAAATGCTGCAGAGATGTCAACTACAAATACATCAGTCTGCACAAAGGCAAATATGACACACACGGGTCCCTTTTGCACAGGTGGAAATAGATGTAACCATAAGCACTGGACGGGAACACCGGATGTGAAAGGTCTCCAGTAGTACGTACTCTTGATCTCCAATCTGCAGAAACAATTTTTATTGACTCAGCTGTAAAGGAAAAGATGTGGTAGTGCATTCTTTGAATCCGCCAGGAGTTAACATTTACTTCAAATTCTCTGTTTTGTCCATCTCACATGAAAATAGATGGTCCCACTTGGCCATTTAGGAAAATACATCATCCGCCATCTTTCTCTCCTTGGCTGAAAGAGTTGGCCACGTCAGGTAGCAGGTGTACGTGAGGGCAAGCGGGTTCACATACCTTTGTCCATGAGGAACAATGCTTCTACTGTTCTGGGCCCTTGTTATAGGTAGGAACTATCACCAGGACATGCCCTTGCACCTGCCTGTCAGAGCATGTGCCCAGTCACAGTATGTGTGCTCACTCACATCTGGCTGTGTTTGCATTCGCGTGTGCAGAGTGACCAGTTGGAACCAGGTCCACACACCTCTTCCCTTCTCACGTCTTTAACTATAAGGCAACGCTAACAGCTGGGGGACAATGTGAGCATGAATGTGAGTGTGTGGGTGTGCGATCAAGCTTTTACTTTCCAATGGCACCCAAACGTCCTCACAAGAATAAAAAACCTGGAAAAGTGGTGACTAAATAGGGCCGTGTTACATTTTGGGTTCAAAATTCGGTTACAGTTGAGAAGAAATCAACAACATGTCCTGACGGGTATAACAACAGAAGGGTGTGTGTGTGTATTTCCACGGGCAAATCAAACAGCCTATCATTTAGAAGGATATTGTTTCCTCTCTGCTCCCTGTGAAAACAATTAGCAGCTCCAGTTACACTTGGCACATTCATATCGTCACTGATGTAATGCCGGATCACTTATCTGCCAAATTTCCCTCCTCTTTCTGTCTTCTCCCCTCCCTCTCCCCTCGCTCCTTTTTTCCCGGTGCGAGGGCAGAGCAAACAGACAACTTGACAGAGGTTTTAGCCATCACCTCTTGGCCTGTGGCTCGGTGCACTCAGCCTCACCTTGTTTGTCCATTTCCTCTGTTTCTCGTCTGCTGGTGTGATGAAAACATTGGTCTTCACTAGACTTCTGAAGTTGGGCCCCATGCCCGTGTGTCTGTACAAATTGATCCAGACCTGATGTGAATCTGTCATGCTTCAGGTGATATTTCACTTTGGTTATAAAATAAAAAAACGAAACACAAGGAGAGTTTTTGGAAATTCCAGTAAGTGGTCCTGACAATGCAGTTTCAAAGCAGTCCAGTTCAAAAAACTAGAAAAGTATCATCTTTTAATGAAATTTATTAAAAATGTGGGCAGACTTTGAGCTTGTCATTTAATATTTATTTCCTGTGTGCAGCTGCTGTGTCTGGAGGTGAAGCTCAGTCCCCTGGTGCTGTCCGCTCTGGATGAAGACTCTCAGATGAGCAGACTGTTTGCTTGCCGTTCTCTGTCCACCATACTCCAACTCATAGGAACCAGTCTGCACCCTGAGGCCCTCAACAAGATCTACCCTGGTAATTAATGCACTACATTTATTCACACTGCAGAATGAAACTGACATGTACGCTTTGCAGTTATTCCTCAATAATTGCACGTCACAGTTTATGCATCTAACATAATCACAGAATAGTGGCATACTAGCTTTTGGAGAAACCATTACTTGTTTTTTTTAATGTTTAATGCTAAATGTTGTCAGGTGTGGTACATTAATTTTGATTCTCAAATTACAGAGCTGCTGAAGCGTCTGGATGACAGCAGTGAGGAGGTGCGCGGTGTCGCTCTGCAGGCCCTCAGACTGTGGCTGTGCAGCCTGACCAAAGAGTACAACCCTGAGCTCTGCGCTCCTCATCTGCAGCTCCTCTTCCAGCAGCTCCTCCTGCACCTGGATGATCCCAACAGCTCGGTGCAGGACCAAGTGCTCGGTGAGACTGGGTTCGGGTGTTTGTACCTGTGATCTCAGAGATGAGGATTGGAGTGTTGATAGCTTGTTGATGGTGAGGGCTTAACAGCAGGATACACACATGTCCCAGTAATGCTTTGTTGAAGGTGGGTTAAAAATGAATAAGTAGTCTGGATCTTAGAAAAGTGGAAAACATTTTTACTGTCTAAAGATTTACTCCGTGTGGAATGTATCTTAGCTTTTCCCTCAAATCTTTATGAGTCCTGACTATATTAATCACAACCATAACTCTTGACAAATTATATCAAACGTTTGTGTAGCTGGTCTTTTTAATGCATTGTTGATCCTGGATACCAGCGCAGATATGAATGTGGACATAATATTATGATGTGGACCTAATGACCATGGTTATGATAAACATCTGATACACATGGTGAAGATGGTGAGCGTGAGGTGATGACGAAAGCTGAGTTTAGCGGTGATTATCTGCAGAACCAGCCTGCTGTGTACGAGACACTCACAGAGGGCTGAGAGGAGTTAGGGGTATCCTCTATCAAACACTAGATTATTGCCTGGCTTGCTGCCAGCAGATTCCCCCTGTCCTTGATTTCAAAAGCTCTTGGTTATCCTTGTTTTACACTCAATTCATCATAACGAGCCCGAGCAATTCCCCCTGCCAAAGTGAGCCTTCAGGGGTTGGGCTGATGGTGGCCCTCAAGAGTTGAAACACAAGATCCAGATATGGATAAGCACCCACCTGAGAGAGACACTTCACAGGTTGATATGTGAGCCCTAATATCTATATAACGCTCCTGCCAGTACACCTGGGGTAGACGGGCCAATCTAATAGCAACCACATGGGCACCCCTCCCCCTCACCACCTTTCCACATCTGTCCTCGCACCCATCCCGCTAAATCCCTACATCTTTTATCTGCCCGCGTTAACTTCCCCCTCCCTTACCCAGTGTTTGCTGTGACGGGCCGTAGCTTGCGTTATGTTCATGCATCAGTGGAAAGTCTGATTGCCGTTTCCTGAAGTGTGTAACCGAGGCTCAGATCCTCTGGACTTTCACTCTCTCCCACTCTCATGGATGTTAGCTGTCATTACATCTGACAGGACGCAGGTGAGTGCTGATGCCTTAGCCAGCGATGAGAGGCCTCGCTGCAGGATCTCTCATCTCCATATGGTTAGACGTAGAGGGAAAGAGGGGGTGAAAAAAATTAAAAAGAGAAGGCATTCACCCACTCACCAGATGTAGCATTAGCTGCCATACCATGAATTCTAACCCTGCAAGACCGCTTTTGAAAGCTTTCCAACGACAATAAGCATTTTTGTTGTTGCCATTGGTTATCAAGTGTCTGTAACATCGACTGCAGACAGCAGAATAACAGATGTAAATCAACTTTATGGACCGCCCACATACTGTGTGTTTGTATTTCTTGAAGTTGAGTGATTTTGTGTGTTGTACTTGTGTATTTTATGGATTTGTTTTGAAAATCTATACTGTAATTCTTTATATTTCAGTTTAAACACGAAAGGGGTTTCTTTTCTATCTCTATGCTGGATCTGCAGCAGTGATTTATCTTTAACTCGCGCTCCGGCAGTAAGTTACACACCCAAACTTATACTAGTTAATGGATAAGTCTGGGCGTATTTTTATATTTTTCTTATTGTTAACAAATCCCGTGAGAAGACCAAAATCAACAGTGAACTGATCCTGTTTTGGTTAGCTTTTGTAGTTTATTTTGAGTTGATCCCACACTTACTGTCCTGCTGCTGTAAATACTTATTAGAGCACCAAATCCCCAGCTAAAACTAGTGCCCAGCCTTTTTAGGGACAGAAATAGAAATTACTTAGGAACAAATAGATTTTGGATTGACAGGCAGGCAGGGGAATTCAGAAAGTTTTCAGAGACGCATTGTTCGTTTTGATCTTTTCATTTGCTTGTTGCCAATAACAAGTTACAAGGCCAAAATACGGCGGAAACTGATAATCCAAGTTTATATTGTTGAGGGAGGGCAATGGATTGAATTGATACTTCTTTATCAATATCTTTTAATATCAGGTCTGAAAATTTGGGCAATGCATTATAATTGTTTATCAGCTTGAAAGAGTGTATCAGTACACCGTGTAAAGATTTAAATGTGAGCTATGCATTGCCCAATTATTCAAACTATAATCCCCATGAGGTACAGTTGATTCGTAGACCGCTCCGAGTCTCTTTGTGAAACGAGATGACCTCACATCTTGCTGAGTGATTGTCTGTATCTGACAGTGCCCATAACTGCCTGCGCCACAAATGTGGAAGCATTCCTCCCTCTCATGCATGGCTCTGTTTGAAGCTTTCTTTTTTCCCCTCCCCACTCTTTCTTCCTCTCCATCCCTCTTTGTTCTTTTAATAGTGGATCCCATTCTTATGCTTCTTGGATTTCAAACGCATATCTGTGAAGTGGCTTGGTGTCTGCAGCATGTCTTGACAGCATGACGGACAGCACCTCTCATCCCTCCTTCTCTCACTCTTCCAGTCCTTCCCCCGCTCGATTATCCCCCCCATCCTGGCAGCACGGCTGCTACCTGCTCAATCACACAAGACTGTGGGCCCGGGTATAACTCACGTCTCACAAGTCATCATTGTTCTCCTTTTAATCCAGAGTTCCCCCTCCTCTGCCGCACCTCCACCCCAGCTGAGTACAGTACACACAAAAGCTAAAATCCCCCTCAGTCTCCTTGAAGAACAAAGGCGGGTATCAGATGATGAGTTTACATGAGCTAACTCATCCAGAGTGACAGCGTGTCACCACTGAAACAGCGGGATTGCATTGTGGTTTCAGAAGCATTTACCTATTGACAGCAATTCAGGTAATTTGATGTATACCTTTTTAGAAAATCAGCAGAAGGTGTGGGAATGATGGGAGGAAAAGATTTGAACAGAGAATTATCACCTCCCAGTGGAAGAACAGGGCGCTTGCCCATAAATTTTCTGAGTTGCAGAGTTTATGTAGTGAAGTTCAGCACTGCCATCTGCTGTCCTCCTGACTGCCTTTTGTATTTTGTTACAGAAAACATCAAATCACAGCTGAACGTGAATTAACTAATTTTTGCTGAGCATTTGAACTTTAGAGTGACTTTAACCCCATTGATTGTCTATATCAACATGGAAGAAGAATAAAAGCCAACTAAAAGGCCCATCACCATCAGCCCCTTTTGATACACTGAAGATCACAAGCTCCCCAGTAGGTCTCCCCTGAAGAATTAAACCGTGCTTATTGGCTTTCTCGTAGAGAGTTGCATGAAAAGATCAACACCAGTCTCATATCACTCTCATTTCTGTGTAGTAAATATGCAGCCAGCTTAACGTAGCGTAACAAAATGGCTGGAAGCAGGGGCAAACGACTAGCCTGGCGCTCTCTAACGGTAACGAAATCTGCCTAACAGCACCTCGAAACTTCAGTAATTTACACATATGTGTGTTTAATCCGGAGAAAAATAGACATGATGTGGTCCCATATGGGGGGTTATGTGCCAAACCATTTCTTGGCCGTCAATTCCTGGAGTCATCCGGAGGTTGCAAGGCAACCCGCAGAGTTTATTTCTCATAATGTCAAACTATGGAATATTGAATAGGTTACTCGCAATATTTTTTTGTGCTTTTAAACTTCAGTTTTGCATGGAAAATATTTATTTTTGGTACAAAATGTATCTCATATCTTTGAGTGCTCACTCCTTTGTGTTTTTGTCTGTTATATCTGTTTGTGTGTGTTCAGAGATCCTGAAGAAAGGCAGCTCGGTCCACCCGGCACTTCTAAAGAGGGAGGCGGAGGCAGTAAGAGACAAACATCGGAGTCCTCTGTACTGCGACCGGCTACTCCAGCACATCAGCTCGCTGCCCACGGAGCCTACAGCAGAGTGTCCTGAGTGACATAATGTTTGTGCCTCATTACATACAACGCTCTCACCTTATAATTGTGCAAAATTGTACAATGGACCATTTGTTCGAGAACAGTTTTTGAAATGTGTTCCTTTTATTGTATTTCCTCGGTTCTGGTGTTTGGTTTTAATGCAAACAAACACATTTTTGATGCACTGTGGTTGTGTTTAAATGTTTTAGTAGCACATTCATAAGCTCTCTTCACCCAGACTCTCAGCACCACCAGCCTCCAGATGGTGCTGAGTATGAGAGAAGCTGGGTCATGTGATTTTTGTCTTCAAAATAAAAGTGTTTTTTTTGTTGTTGTTGTACTATTGATATGTGTAAATACTAATCACATTAAAATAAATCTAAATCTTTTAATTATGAAACGATCTTTGAATGATGTAGGGCTGTGTGGATCTGGGCTAATTTTTATTTTTATTTTGAATATTCTGCCCCGGATGTTTCGAAATATTTTATTAATTGTTTTTTTTTTTTTTACTTGACATTGACTACAGCAGGTATTTAGCTCTACTCTGTCCTCCGTCCATCCCCTGCACAATCACGAAATGAAATGCTGATTCCCGGTCATCCGTATGTGTGACCCTCCACCATGTAGTCACCTGAGTGCCGACAGCAGAGCTTCATCCATGCCATCTTTCTAAGCAGCTTTCATCTTCAGGTCCGATCGTGACATAGATAGCCTACATCCCGTCCTCCGTCCATCATGCTGCAGATCGGAGATGAGGCGGTGTATTTCTCGGCGGTGTTTTTACTGGTGATGTTGGGGACGAGGAGCGCCACGGGGGCCTCCCTCCTCACCGCATTCCTCTACGTCTTCATGGTGATGTTCCGCTTTGCTCCGGTGCCTGTGGAGCAGGCCGGACGCGTCCTCCGGCCCAGGGCTCCATCAGGTGGCGTCCCGGTGGTGGCGCACCGCGCGGGGAGCCACGATGCACCGGAGAACACCTTGGCAGCGATCAGAGAGGTGATGTGACTGTCATCCATTCAGTTGAAAATATGGAGCTGCAAATGAGGAGCCCGTGTACTACAGAGCAAAAGTAGCCTACAAGGCGATAGAAATGTAACTTAGGCTACAGATTTTACACCCGGCTAAATGAAATAGTTTCTGTAGGAATCTAGAGCACTACAGGTGCAAATGAGTCCCCAAAGCACTATTAAGGCAATTTCTTTAAGTATTTTGTGAAAATATTGATGGCTTAGGCTAGTAGTTGCTTAGGCGTTGCATGTCGTGACTTCCCGGTTATTTTGCAGTGTAGGCAGAGCACCACATCCACTGTGCTGAATGCTCAACCCTTGCAGATCGGGATCATTATGTTCCTTGGCCTTGTATTCTAGTTAAATTACTTTTCTAAAACAGCTGTTTCCAGTGCCAGACATCTTCGTCATGCAGATGCTGAGGAGGGCTGCTGCCACTGAAACTTTTGCCAGAGTACCCAGTACCTATTTTTCACTGTTGTGACTTGAAATTTAGATTGTACAAGATTTCTTTTCTTTTTCTTTTTTTTTTTTTTTGCAGACTGTAGATTTTCAACCATGGATCAAATACGTTTTTCTGACCAAACTGTCAATGGCTGAGACCAATATCTGTGCCAATTGTGGCAGAGTTTTGGTCCAATACAGAGTCTGCCGCTCTACTCAGATTCTTTACTTGAGTAAATTAGAAATACCTAGAATGGTATCGTATCATAAGCATGATTTTTGAAAAGAGTAACTAAAAAAACTAAATGCATCAAATAAATAGTGGAGTTCAGTATAAAGTAGCATAAAATGGACAAATTCAAGTAAAGTACAAGTATGTCAAAGTTGCACTAAAGTCCAGTACTACTAAGAATAAGAATCTTTTTCTTTCCTGTTCCCCCTGTGATCTCCTGCTTTAGGCCAGTAAGAACGGGGCAACTGGAGTGGAACTGGACCTGAGTTTCACAGCCGATGGCATGCCTGTACTGATGCACGATGAGACTGTGGACCGCACCACCAACGGCTCTGGATCAGTTAGCAAACTACATTTTGTCCAACTTAAGAGACTAGATGCTGCTGCTAAACACAGGCTGAAGTATGCTCCCTATCAAACACTCATGTTAGCCGGTCTAAGCTTGTGATTCAGTGCGCACATAAAGAAACTAGAGACTGTGTGTCTGTGAAATAAGATTTACTTGGAAATATATGAAGATCTTTATACTAAAATGTTTGTTAGAAATATAGTTTTCATATGTCACCATTTGAAGTTTTTGACACTCAGCCAAGTCTCCCAGCATCCTATTTTGCTTCAAAATGTCACTTCAGTTTGTCCTTAATAAATTTACTTTGTCATTGTTTTTCATCAAAATGGTATAGAGACGTATCTCTGTTCTCACTTGCTTTTATCGCAAATTATTAAGACTTAAAATAAGGGAGCAGGAGAAACAGACGAGTGTGATGTTACAGCGGGAAGGTTATCTCAGAAACCTGCTGTGGTTTCTTTCATCTCCAGGGACAAGTTCAGTGGAGAGAAGGTCCCCACTCTGCAGGAGGCTGTGCGGGAATGCATGAGACACCAGCTCACTATCTTCTTTGATGTCAAAGGTCAACCTGATAAGGTGTTGAATATAGTGGCCTAACCTAGCAGGCAAAAAGACTCATCATAAATATCTGGGCACATGCATATTTGGAACAATGATGTTAGCCAGCTGCAGCCAGCAGACGTGCTTAATACAGTAATCATAAAAAATTGCAGCTGTTTGTACAATAGCCAAGAGGCTTACTCATATTTCCTACTTTTATTATCAACACTTCAACCCGTCTAGTAAGCAGTAATCTCTTTAAATGAGCTGGTTTATTATCAGACTGTTAAATAATGTTCTGTTGGTCATGTTAATGTGTTTTCCTCTTCTCCAGGCTGCATCAGTGCTTCGTGAGATGTATAAGAAGTTCCCTGTGCTTTACAATTCCAGCATTGTTTCCTCCTTTGAACCCAAAGTCATCTACAAGGTAACAAAATATGACAGATTAACACAAATTATAATTATCATCTTTAGAAAGCAGGGCGGTACAGTGGTTAGCACTGTTGCCTCACAGCAAGAAGGTTGTGGGTTTAAACCCCAGTTGCCCTGGCCTTTCTGTGTGGAGTTTGCATGTTCTCTCCAATTCTGCGTGGGTTCTCTCCGGGTGCTCTGGCTTCCATCCACATGCAGGCTAGGTTAATTGGTGTCTCCAAAATTGTCCTTAGGTGTGAGTTGTTTGTCAATGTGCGGCCCTGTGATGGACTGGCGACCTTTCCAGGGTGTACCCTGCCTTTTGCCCGATGTCAGCTGGGATTGGCTCCAGCACCCCACGACCCTGTACGCAGGAACCTGCGTACTGTTTCTGACTGAAGAGCCTGAACCTCCTTCTAATTTCGACAGTGTTCTGTTGACCTCTGATCTTTTCCTGTCCTAAAGATGCGTCAGACTGACCCCAAAGTTGTCACGGCTCTCATCCACCGGCCCTGGAGACTGAGCCGCCTTGGCGATGGCACTCCTCGCACTCTCTCCACATGGGGTCAGATGTGGACGGGGGTTCTGGACGTCTTGCTGGACTGGGCCCACCACCACATACTCTGGAAACTCTGTGGCGTCTCTGCTATCCTTGTGCAGAAGGACTTCATCTCATTGTAGGTTTATTTAACAAAATTAAACTTGTTTTATCATTACGATGCATAGCCGCAAAGCTGTGTGTTATTCACAGGGCTTAAGAGATGACATGAGATGTTAAGAGTTTTCAACTCTGTAAATCCTCCAAATGAAACAATCTGAGAAGAGTCCTCTTTTGTTGAACTGCTCACAGATCAACAGGGTGGTGACTCCTCCAGAGAAATGATCAAGCGCATTGCCTCACATCAATTTAAGAATTTCTCATTTAATGTATGCACATGGAAGGTCAGGGAGGTGTGAAAAGAACTATAATGCCAAACATAAATTACTGCAGAGCAAATATCAGTTTCTTTGACAAAAGTTGCCTCTCAGGGCTTCTGTGGGTTCACTATTCTATGTCATGTATTCTTTGCAACCAAAAATGTGTGTCTGGCTGTGGGTCTTGTTCCTTATTTACTGAGCTATATTCTATTTCCTTCCTCCTGTCAATTAGGGACTATGTTCAGTACTGGACAGAGCGAGGTGTGGAGGTGGTGGGCTGGACTGTTAATACAGCTGTGGAGAAAGACTACTACCAAAACCTGCTGAAGATTGGCTACATCACTGACAGTCTGCTGGAAGACTGTGATCCGCATTACTGAATGATCACACACACACAGTGGTTAGAGATAGACAGGGTAAGGTGTGACCTTGTAAAAGCAAACATTTTACAGCTTCTTAATGAACAAAGTAGAAACTCTTTGGTGCGACAGAAGATGACATAATTACTATCATTACAACAATCCCCAGTTTCCTGTGCTTTCTAAGAATGTAAAATACTGAAATATGTGGAAATATAGTTATTTATTTATAAGGTGGAAGGAAGGTAGAAATTTGGTGCTAACTAGCTCTGTAGTGGCAATTGAACAACCCAAGCTTTACAGAACTGATTTACTGTAGAGGTAAGAAGACATCATTACCTGTAGCTGGCATACGGGTAAGTTCCCTTTAAATCTACAGACAGATTAAACCATGAAGACTTAACTGTATGAAGACTTAACTGTATACTTGCTTGTCCATATCCTACTACCAGCAGCAATACCTCCAACTCTCCTGGTCCAGGGATTAGGATTACGCTACCTTTAAAGATCTTTTCTACCTTCAGAGGATTTGATGCACCTTTTAAAGAGACACAAGTGTATATAGTTGTAAAATTAGACATATTGGCATCAATTCACCACCTGCTACCGTGATATTAATTTAATGACGGACTCTAGAAGAGCTCTTGTTATTATTATTACTACAACTTAACGTAATAATACTTGATTGTTCAGAAGCTTGCAGTCTGTGTTTCACTTGCACAAATACACAAGAAACCTTGCCGTAAGACATTCAAACTTTGAATGATTCAAGTGTGAGATAAGTACGATATCAGATTCCTCATCCTTGAGGGAAAGTAAATGCACCCTTGAACTCTGCCACACAGATGGGGGGGTGTGAGCGTAGGTGCGTGTAGTTCAAGGCACAGCTTCACATAAACTCCTAAACTTTTGTCTGACGTCACCTCTTTAATACATTGTGAATCATCAGAGGAGGGTGACTCTTTTTGTGATTGTGGCTGTTGCCACAATTGTTAAGAAATATTAAGGCCTTGAATCCAAATTCCCTGACCATGACATCTCTTCCTTTAACTTTTCAGTCATATTTTCTGTAAATGTAATGGCCTAATGCTTCTTTAAATAATCCTCCACACTACTAGGAATATCATTTTGGAGGAATTCCCTTAGTTTCATTTTGATTTAACTTAACTTGTTTTGCCTGAGTGCAGTTACATTTTAAAGATATTATCTGTAAATTATATCAGAATGAACCTTAAGAAGCCTACCATGTGTAATGTGTCTGTAATGGTAGGATATAAACTCCAAATTCCCAGAAATGATACAGGGGACATGGAGTTCTTGTAGGAAAAAGGCAAGCAACCCCATCTTGGTCACTATTCATTTCTCAGAGATTCCAAAAAAATTCAACATTTCTCTTTTGTTTCATTTTGCTGTAGTGTTGAGAATGTCTTATATTCTAGTAAGAAAAATAACATAGGGCCACTCGTCAAAACAGGCTGGAATAAATCTTAAGAATGTAAATCCAGTTTTCAAATCTGCTGTAAATCAATAATGCCTTTTAAGTGAAAATCCTACATTATTAAAATGTTAAAGTATTATGTGAGAGTTTTCTTTGTCTTCATGTCTGTCTTTGTCGACCCAACTTTTAATAATTTAACCACACTCTCACTTAGGATAAAGTAAAGATGTGACTGTGTGTATGTGATTGCCTTGTGCACCGGATCTCACCTGTGTGTGCTGTAAACAGAGAAACGGAGGAGGAGCAGCCAAATACATTCTCTTTCCAATTTACAATTGTGTAATTTATGTCACCCTAAACAATGGCGTTTAACAGGCCATATCTTCACTGGATATTTCTAGAATAATTTAATTTATTATTTTATAAGGGGAGAAAAATCCAGTCTGTGGTCCTTGAAATCCCCTGGTGTTGCATCCCGGGACACTGTCTCTTTAAAGCGCCCTGGGAGGCGTGGAGGGACGTCGGGAAGTAGTGCTCTAAAATGACGGCGTGCGTGCAATGTCTTATGAATGACAGGCGCCGTTCCACGTTATGTGACATTGTGGCAGTGCAGGACACCTCAGCACCGACGTGACTTTCGTTAACTGTCTGGACTCAGGCTGCAGGTGTATGGGATGCGCTCCGGCTGTTGGTTTTACGCGGAGAGGAGCGCGCCACGCACAATTCCTGTTTTCTGAGAGGTTACCCAACAGCCTGCACAGTCTCGTGTCGACTGCGTGGACCTGCGTTGGCTGCCAACAAGCCTGTGCGTTGAAATTCAGCCTGATCAGCCGAGGAGAGGACGGATACTTCTCACACACCAAGGCAGGTCCTGGAGGAGCATGTTTAACTGAAAACTGACTTCACAAGGCGGCCTGCTCCACCTGAATCTGGGACTACTTCTTTACTCTCAGAGTTTACAGGTGACTTTTCATGCGCATGATGTACACAATTACAAGAGGTCCCAGCAAATTGGTCACCCAGCGACGGACAGGTGAGACACTGAACGGCAACTTTCAACTATGTTACACATTCACAGATCCATCTTCATATTGTTTTCAAGTGTTTTATTTTTTTTCCCTTTTCAATCAAATGTGAGCTTTCTCTTATTTTTAGGGCCTACTCAGCAGCTTGACAACAAAATAAACGACTTCAAGCACAAACAAACATCCTGGAGTATGCCTGAGTAAGTGTGCAGCTTTTTTTAGACACACTAATACTCTCAGGAGTGTGTCCTTTTGAGAATCTCAAAACTCTGGCTATTACTTATTTTTATTTTTACAGAGATCAGTTTGACTTGCCAAATAAATTGTGTTTGTTAAAGTGTTACTGAGGGACTGCGTCCTGGCAGCGGTGGACCTCATCTGCTTGAGACAGGCAGTGTTTGTTCATTTGTTAAGGAATAAATAATGCATAACCTTATAACCTTCACACTGTGGCTTCCCCAAAGCTCACTCTACCTGCTGGGCTGTTTTCATGCCTTTAAACCTGTGTGTGTGTGTGTGACCGTGACCTTGTGCCACATGGTCTGACATTCAGCTGTTGCAATCCTACACAGCCAACCTTGCTCTCAGTCTAGGCCCAAAGGTTGACACTTTGAAACACTTCCTGCTGTGAATTGAGAGTTGAAACATCAGACTACACGTGTGACTCCTGTTTTCCCTTGCTTTATATCCTTTAGCCTTCCTGCACCCAAGATAGTTTTCAACCGTCCTAATGGTAAGAAGTACCATCACCCTGCTCAGGCTCTCTCTGCAGACAACCAGCTGGACGAGAACTTCACCCCCGCACACGTGGAAAACGTCAAGTTTGTCTACGAGGGTGAGGAAACGAATGAAAGGGCTCGCTGGAAATAATGGAGAGGATGAAGGACACTTTTCATTGTCTCGCCGTATCAAGACATCCGTCCTTTGCCAGCTGTTTTGTGAATTACAGTGCTTTACTATTAAGAGTATCAGTATTTAAAAACTGCTAACCAGCTCCCTCCAACCCCCACCACCTCCCAGGCCTCACCCGCACAGCTGCTCTGACACTGATAGCCATGATAGGCACCTAGCAGAGAAACTTTCTCACCCATATCATGCTCCTCCCGACCCACGCTGGCACACGAGCTGAGGGAAACAGCTTTTCTTTTTTTTTTTCGGCATTGGCTAGCCCCCACCAAGTTGTAATGTCTGAGCTTTGAAGAAAAGGCTTTTGACACAGATGAAGGGAGTTTTGCAGAAACTCTACACAGTGACCCAGTTTGGAAGCATGCACCTTCCTTTTAACATTCACAGGATCATTCACTCATTTGGCTCTGCTGCTTTTACTTTCTCTGTCCTGTTAGCTGCTGGCATTGAAGCTCAGCAACACCAGCTCATAAACAACTTCAGTAACCTTGTCATTGAATGGACAAGGACACAAATAAGCCCCCCTCTCCCCTGTTGAGACAGTGTTGTTCAGGGTTGATTAACTCACTTTTACTCTTTAAACAACATCAATACTGATATAAACAAGCTTACCCTTTTTAAGTTTTTTTCTTAGTCATGACCTAGAAGCAGCTACCAGAGATTAAATCAATCCCAGTACACACACACACACACACACACTCCATGTGACCAGTCCACATGCTACATTATTGGAAATAAACATTTGCCAGGAGTGGCAGGCCTTTGAAGCAGTTGCCCTTGTAGACTTTGCTTGTTTGACATTGTGGGTGTGACCACTGGCATGCAAGAATTTTTGAAAGCTTGGACAGATAAGGACATTTGCTATTACCTGTTAATTACATTATTTATACCATATCCTTAGGTTCAGATTGTCATTATTTATCATTACTTTCATTTAATTGTATTACAGAACAGGAACCCTGCACCAATACAACTGTGTCAAATCCTGGCTCCTGTACGCTGATATTTGATCCAGAGGTGTAATAAAACAGAGGTGCAGCTAATCTCCTTTTTTAGCTGCAATTATCATTTCATGATCGATTCATCTGTTTCAGCAGATTATTTATGATTCGATTAACGGATTAATGGTCTATAAAACATGAAACAACTGTGAAAAGAGCCCATGTTTTCTCTTGTCTAGCCAGCTGTGCAAAGCCCAAAGATATTTAATTTACTATCCTCACACACAGCTGGAAACAACAAAAATGACTTAATTTGTTAATCGATTATCAAAATACTGTAGTTGCTGATTCATTTTCTGTTAATCGTTTCACCTCTAGTAAGTATTCCTAGTTGATGTTCTGTCATTGTCTTTGTGTTTTCAGCCTGGCAGGAGGTGGTGCAGCACGAGCAGGGGCCCGACCAGGAGCCAGAGGAGGCCCCGGGAGCAGTCCATTATAAAGAGCCCATTCCCAGCCCACACATGGACAGTGAGTACAGTTTCTCCTTCTCTCAGTCCTCCGCACGCTGCACCACCCTCCCACGAGCTGCTCACATCTTCATCTTCATAAGTGATTTTAATAGTTACAGCTAAAATTTTGAAGCAGGGTGATTTCTTAATATTTTAGTGTCTTATGATAACAGCCCACGTGTTACAACCACTGTAACCTGGAAACTAGGTTGTAATGGTTTATGACAGCCAACCAACCAAGAATTAGTGACCCCGCTTCTGATTCTTCAATCTAGGAGGAAGCTAGCAGAGGTCAGAGGCCCGTCTCTTCTCATAGCCCAAATGGCATGTACCAACTCCGTTGACACATTTAGAAATGCTAATTTAAGTTTTATACTTCATTGCCATATCAACCAAGATGATCGGAATCTGTCAGCTCAGATTAAAAACACAACCTAACAACCATGGCATGCATGGGGGAAGACCTAGAGGTAATTTTCACAAGGTCTGTAGTGTTCAGTTTCGGATTGTTGTTGTTGTTGTTGTTGTTTTTAATATCCAGATAATAATTGAAATCAAACATGTAGCCAGCAAGTCAATCTCACACAACATGTTAATATGAAGAAACAAATAAATGGATAAAGTGAAACAAAATGGTTATTCAGTGTCTTTATCAAGGAATGGATTTCCTCAAATAAGTTATGTAGAGAGATTTCAGAATTGGTCAAACACAATGTAGCAAATACAATAAAAGGTTATTCTAAATGATGATGATATAATTTAATCTGTAATATTGACTACTACATAACAATCAACACAGTCGTTTTATGATTTTATTTTGTCTATTTGATTTTTTAAGTTTGGTCATATTATTGTGAAAGTACACACCGGAAGTGGTACTATGCTATTATCGCTGTTAGTGACGTTAACTTGAAAGATGTTGCATTTTCTCATTTCAACCACTAGAGGGCGGTACGCACTCGTGATTCCCTGATAATTTACCGAAACAGTCGGTTTGAGTATAAATATCTGAATTATGTGGCGTTGTAATCGTTAACGGGGACCACTGCAGATCAGACAATATTGTAGGTCTCTTCGTTTTCTTCTTATTGCTTCAGTTTGGTTACTCTCAGAAAATGTGGAAGGTGCTAGCATGCTAACGTGTCTGCATGTGATGTTGGTTTGAGCCTCGCTAGCAGGAAACTTAAGTTAGCCTACTACTCCACACCAGAAAGCCTTTACTTAAAACCGCTGTTAGTTAACTCTGTTATCAACAGTTGTTATTTATTATTTGTAGTTGTATCATATGAGTTTTAACCATGAATTGAACGTAGTGCTGCAGTTTCACACTGTGACCTCTGGAGGGCAGTAAACACTTAAGATTTGAGCTATTCTGGTCACGCCACCAAAGACAGACGGTTATTATAATAACACTTCTATTTCTATATGTTCAACAAACACACATTGTAGCGGGGAGGAAATACAGATGTTTTTGAATAAAAACAGAAAAGTCTAATATTTTTATAATTGACTGTCCATTCATGGTTTCAATTTTGTTTTTCAGTGTCCTATGGTGATGACAAGCATGAAACGTTTTCTCACATGGCAGAAGCACATCTACATACTGTTAATCTTTTTAATTCCTTCCCATTCTTATGTTTTGTTTTTAGACTTTGTGCCCATAGATCTAGATGAATGGTGGGCCCAGCGTTTCCTGGCCAATATAGACAAGTTATCCTGACACTGCTGGGATTTGTGGATCTTGACAGACGGTCAGAAGATGAGACCTGAAGCAGGATGACTCACAGAGGAGAGGAAGCCTGGGCAGGAGGTGCAATGGGTCAAAATGGCCCGATGTGATTAAAATTGACGGACGCTGAGACGCTAACATAGAAACGACAGACTCACTTTGCGTGAACTCTACAATCCATCCAGCTCTCAAAATTCCCTCTGGGATACTCTGCACGCTGGAGGATGACATCTTGAAGCTGAGGTTTCTCTCAGCTTACTACCCTCACATTAGAGATGCGATGTGACTTTGAAATGCAGTAAAGTTGTATTTTCAAGAAGCTTTGTGTTGGCATCTTTTTAATTGTCTCAAGAAGATTGTTTACTCAATTTATTGGTAATGCCCAGAGGAGACCACAAATGTGTATACAGTATTTTAAATCCATTTTACATTAACTTCACCAGTACTTTAATACCAAATGAAACTTGTTTACAAGTCAGGTGACATTTGCAACATCTGCCAAATACATTGTTCTTTTCATTTGACCCAGTTCAAAAAATATTCCAACACTTTAGGTATCCTGTTTCTTATAAACCACAAAAGTGAACATAAAATATTAAATAAATGTGGAAAGAAAAGATGGAAACATTTAAAGGGCTTAGAAAGAAAAGAGAAAAGAAAGGGGCAAATGGCTCTATTTAGCAGGGAGGACGTTTTGTATTTCTAATTGAACCATGATCACTCTGACCACTTCCAGGCTCTAATGCACACTTTAGAATGAAACTTCATCTATTTTTAGTTGTTGTTGCGTAATATTTTGAAATGACTGTGTTCATTCTACATTTCTGGCAAGACAAAACTTGTTCTGCTTTACATCTCTACATTGTTTGTGGCCGGTTTGCATCCAGATTATTCAGGACGGCAACGAGTGGCAATTTATTTTTGAAGTACCTTGTCTTGAAAACGAAATGGCAATTTCAGAGACATCCCATTTTTACATGCCAAGGCGTGATCGGAGTGAAATGACAGGTGTAACTGTGACCACCTACTTTACAGCACATATCCTCTAATTATCATTACCAATATTAATACCTTTTGAAACACAGCTGAACACAGCATAAAGCAGTTCATCTTCACTCCATCTGAGCTTTTCAAGCCTTTAGGGGATGAAGTACTCCAAAAGGTTGTGATTTTAGGGCTCCACATGAACAAAAGGCCTGTGGTTCTCTTCAGAAACTACACTTCTCCAGCTTTGGAGGTCCTTCAGCTGCTGCCAGTGCTTCAGTCTACAGACCTGACCTGTCTGTCAACACAACCAGGTCAGCCTGCACTGTTCATGTCCGTGAGTGGCTCTCAGTGCTTCTCCAGAGCTTTAGTCAGCAGATCGTTCAGGCGGGAAATCATCGGTCGGGGATCATCATTCAGGCCTGCTGTGATCATGGCGTTGTCGTAGATCTAAAAGATTATATAGATGAAGAGAAATAAATGTATGAAACTGCACTGACAGGCAAATTATTCATGATGATATTTTTTTTTTTAAATACAAGCTGGCACTCAAGTAAGAGTCTCAAATAATAAACAAACAAATAAATGAAGGCTGATCATTAATATAGACCAGGTAAAACAAAATTTCACCTGTCCTGTAACACCTTGCATGGTTAATTCAGCATTTTGTGCATTTCCACAACACGAACACGGCAAACTCACTCTGCTACTCATGAGTTTCTCTTTTTTAACTGAAACGCTGTTTTCATTCACAAGTTCGTTCCCATCACTTTTACTCACTGGGAGCCGTTACGCCGTAGTCAATAACTTGACACTTCCTGCAGATGTTTCAAATTAAAATCCTACCAGGAGCAGGAGGGATTATGCTTCTCGAGCTGCTGAAATGCTTTTGCGCATTGAGTATTGAGTATTGAGTTTCATTGCCAATAACTTAAACGTGCCCAGAGAGAGAGGGAAAAAACGGTATGACGAGACTTTGTTGCACTGATGGAATTTGTGGAAATGTACATTATCCTGAATTTATCAAGACAACTAAATAATTTGCATAACGGCAAACTAAAACCGGAGTGGATCAGATAGCGAGGCCTTCAATGATAAGATATGTTTTTTCATATCCAGCTCAGACCCACAGTACCTGTTCCAGTAGCAGTCCAGCCAGGTCAGGGTTTGTTTCTTTTAGCGCGTGCATCTTCTTGATCAGATCGTGTCTATCAGAACAAAAATGCACATTATTTAAAAGTAATTATTCCATCTGGTTAAATATAACCCCCCCCTGACCACCCTACTCACCCTGCATTGATCTCCAGAGTGGGCTGCAGTATCTGAGCTCTCTCCTCAGCGGTGCGAGCAAGCTGCTGGGTGCGGAGGAAGTGGCGTGCAGCACCCATCTCCAGCACTGTGATCATAGCTGGGTGGGTGTCCAGCCGAGGAGTCAGCTGGAGGCCAGATGACAAAAATATTTAATAGGCAACATATCTGCCAACACAGGCTACTTAACATGAAATTGAAAGCCAACTGCTGAATGATTTAACTCAACTGAGCTGATTTGTTTGTTTTGGTCAGGAAAAAACATTTGAGGCTTTGAGTTTATGTACGCAGACTTCAAACCATACTATGAAGTTCAGAATCATGGAGAGTCTTAATCTTTTTACCTTTATGTTGGTAACTCGGGGGCCCAAAGCATTCTTCATCCAGGACATCAGGTCGTCGGCCTGCTCCTGCGTCAGACGCTCAGAGGCTGCAGAGGACGAAAGGCAACAAACTAGAAGTCAGGACTACGGCCACGACAGCGAGAGCTGCCCTGCTACACTGCTCAGCTTTAACAGGAGGAACTAGAGAGGAACGGACCGGGCTTGCTGTCCTCAAACTTCTCCTCCTTGTAGTGATCCACCACGATGTCGGTCTCGACAGAGATCATTTTCTTCTTGTCAAACTCCCGGAGATGGAGCAGGGTCAGCTCGTCGAACTGCTCATAGCAGAACAGCACCTGCACAGGCGGGACGACGGACTATTAAATCTTAATCAAATATGTTGTGAATTAAAATATCTGAAGAAAAGCCAACTGATACAGTTCATATGGTGCATTAAAGTTCAAAGAATATAGACTTTTTTCCCCTCACGTCGCAAAGTGCCTTCAACTTTTTGATTTCTCAGCACACGTCACATTAGTTTTATCCATGACCGCCCTCTCACCTCCATGTCTTTCTGTTTCATGGCCTCGTAGTAGGGCGAGTGCTCTGCAAGATGGCGGTTGGGGGCGCACAGGTAGTAGATGTTGCGTGTGCCGGCCTTCATGCGGGAGGAGTACTCCATCAGGTTGGTCTGCTGGCCGGCTGGCAGAGCGGAAGACTCGAACCTTAGCAGCTTGGCAATGTCCTCCTGTACAGAGACAGCACGGAGGGTGGCGTCATGTTCAAGATACTGTGGCGTCATCGGTTTCAAATGTTCAGAACATATTTATGAAAATGGTAGAAAGTTGTTTGTAATTTTGCAGCTTTTCTCCCCTGAGCAACCTCACCTTGACGTCTTGCTCCTGGGTGGTGACGATGCCCTCCCTCATGAAGAGGCCGTAGTCCTCAAAGAACTTGCTGTACTTCTCTGGCTCCTTCTTGCTCTGGTCCAGCAGGAAGCGGATCACCCTCTGCTGCAAAACGTCACGGAGCTTCCTGCAGCCAGAGGTGATGTTGTAAAAAAATTATTCGGTTGATGAATATTGTAAGTAAATCTCCCTGCAGATGTAGATTTGAGTGGTCCTGTACCTGATGAGGGCGCTTTCCTGCAGCAGCTCTCTGCTCAGATTCAGCGGGATGTCTTCACTGTCCACAACGCCTGCACACACACACACACACACACACACACAGCTCAGCACTGACAAACCAACACTATTTTTTCCCCTTCATTTCATAAAATCACGGATGTAAAAACAGAACAGAGGCGAGTGTGGATGATCCTGACCTCGGAGGAAGCGCAGCCACTTGGGCAGAATGTCAGTGGCTTTGGTCTGGATCAGGACCTTCCTGCTGTAGAGGGCCACACTGGAGCCCATCTCCCTGCTCACGTCAAACATGCTCGGCTTCTGTTGACGAGTAAAGTCTTCTCAATAAAGCATGACTAGATTTTAACTAGGTGCACTTTTGCACAGGTTGGCATTGTTTTAGGGGATGTGCAATACAAGTGACAGATCTGGAGCCAAGAAAGGTTGCTGGTTGAATCCCAGATTAGCCGAGCGGGGAAATGTGAGCAAGACACATTCCCTTTAAATTGGCACAGTTAAAATAAAGTGGGTGTGGCTGTGAAAAGAAAACACATTACACCAAAACCAAAACACACCCAGCCCAGAGCTTCTCACCGCGTCAGGGACATAAAAGATGCTTCGGATGTTGAGCGGGGCGTCGGCGCGGTAGTGCAGTGTGTAGCGGGGCTTGTCGTACGACTGAGCGACGTAACGGTAGAACTCCTCATGCTGCCAGTCACTAATCTCCTTAGGATCCATCATCCACAAGGCCTGGTGGGAGACAGGGGTGAAAAAACAATTAATAAAGACAAAAAACCCAAACAGTGGTACAAATCTAGATTTATTCCTCACCCCAGACTGCATATTTGGTTAAAAATCATTTAACAATGCAGCGCTGTGATTGCTGAGATGAGACCTCCTCTTTTTGTCAGAGTATGTGTTTTGTGTTATAAACAAAGTTCCGCTGTATTCAAACCGCACATATTGTCTCACCTGCAGAGTGTTGAGCCTCCGTCCGTTCAGGAAGATGGGGAAGCTGACAAAGTTGCTGTACTTTGTGACAACCTCTGAAAGAGAACAGCTTGTAAATCATATGGAGTGGCGCACCAACGTGTTTCACTGACGCGGCTCCGGCGGCTGTACCTTTAACTCGGTCCTCAGAGGAAAACTCCTTGCAGTCGTCTTTGAGGTGCAGCACGATCTTTGTTCCCTGTTGAACACCGGTGGCTTCGGCGATCTCAAAAACTCCAGAGCTGAGGGATACAATGACAGAGAATGTCTTGAGGATCACATTTGGTTGCTGTCGTTACACAGACGCATGCGTACACTCTTTGTTCTGCTGTAGGTCAGAAGCACTCTGAGGGAATAAAAGGCTCTTATCCCAGTCCCATCCTGCACT